CACACACACACTCTCCGAGACTCAGAGCCGAGTGATGACGTTTACACTCTGACCCGCACGGAGTTTAGGGGGACAGGGGTTCAGACCTCGCCGTCCAAACTGAAATCTCTCTTTTTCTCTTGGGGTTCAGGCATTCCGCCCCTAAGTGCCGTGTTTAGGGGTGACTCCTGGCGGGAGGGGTGAGGGGGGGGTTCCCTGTCAGACACGTCAGCCCTAACGGAGCTGTGCATACAGCCCTGCCGGGGGTGGCCGGTGCACGGTTATCGGTGAGCAGACAGCCCCACGCCGGTGTCCAGGCCCGCCTGTCCGCTGGGTCTGTCCGTGCCGGGGGATGCCACGTCTGCTCGCGGTCTGCCGGGGGTCTCCAGGCGGCGTCTGGGCGCCGCAGGGCCGCCTGCAAGTGCGAGGGTGCCCGCTGTCGCTCTGGCAACTAAACACGTTGTTCTGTGTTTTTCTCTCTCGCCTTCAGTCAAATTTTTGGAAGTGATAAAGCCCTTCTGCGCGGTCTTACCTGAAATCCAGAAGCCGGAGAGAAAGGTAAGGTCCGCTTCGTCTCTGCGATCTCCAGCCCCTGCACCCCGGGATGGTGGAATTAATCGGTTTCAGAGATGATACCGCCCTGGCAGACAGATTAATCGGGGGAGGTGGGGAATGATTAATATCGACTTTGGTGAGCTGGTGGGCAGTGACAGCAGTCTCTAGCTCCGTGTTCGTCATACCCGAGAGGTCACCTTTGACCTCAGATGAGACAGGCCCTTGTGATGGAGGCTCCTTCATGTTTCCTGGCACAACAGTCTCCCCCCACTTGACATGGGGGAGCAGTTCACCAGATCGGGAAAAGAGCCTATCAGGCGTCTCAAGAAGTTTGGCGTGTCTCAGGAAACCACGGTTTTCTTTTCAGGGCAACAATTGAGTGCGTTAATAACTTTTTTTCTGTGACGGTCTGGTTTAGGTTTGTAGCCTCTCGGGAGGCGGAAACAGATGGACAGAGTGGTCCTCAGCTTCTGAAACAACTGGCTGTGACTGCCTGTTGCTCCCATATACGCGACAGTATAAATGGTGGAAACTCCGAAGGCTGTCAAGGACCACTCCCACCCAGCCTCTCCCCTGTCTGAGCTCCTTCCCTCAGCAAGTCTGTGCCGAGCAGTTCCTGTGGCTCGTGCCTCTCCCGACACTGCCTTCACAGTGTCGGGTGTCCTAAACGTCTGGCTCGGTTTGTGGATTTGTCCCTGTGCTGCGCTGTGGCGTTCGGTATGTCGATTACATTATAACGACGACATCCGTGGAGGACCAGGAGGTGGTCAGAAAGCCTGGTCTTGCAGCCGACCGCTGTGAGGAGACGGAAGGCTGGTTTGGTGAGGGGGGGGGGCAAGTGGCTCAGTGAGGAAGAGGAGGAACGACGAAGAGATCTAGAAAAAGATTTAGAGGGAGGCAGGGTGGGTCACAGCTGAAGTCCCCGCTATTTGGTTTGTCATGTGTGTGCTGTTTGTGCCTTTTCTCTCTCTTCTTTGGATCGGTTGTGTGGAGCGCAGCGCTCGGCAGCCGAGCTGACCATGAGCGCGGGCTTGAATGTCTCGCCCCTCTCTCCTGTCCCTGCAGATCCAGTTCAGGGAGAAGGTGCTATGGACGGCCATCACCTTGTTCATCTTCCTGGTGTGCTGCCAGGTGAGTCCGCCGCTCTGCGGGGTCGGGGGTCGTGTTGGGGTGAGGGGTCCAGGGCTCTCTGCTCCCCCCCTGCAGGCCTGGGGGGGGTCACAGCCGAGGTCGTGGACCGTTCCACTTCCTTTGAGGGAGATGGGGGGAGGGAGGGGTTGGGTAGACTGGTGTCATGCAGCACTTTTTATTTTGCACCTTTATTGTTGCCTCTGGGGGCTTCTAGAAAAAGAGTGTCTAGCACATCCAAAAAAAAAAAACCCAAAACAAGCAATTGTCATTTTACAGCAGCCAGCTTTGATTCCTAGTATCCTTTTGATTTTTTTTAACCCCCTCCTGTCTCCGCAATGGGCCGGCCCGCCCTCCAGTGGGCGGAGTCAGGTGGCTGTGAGCGGCGCCCGTTAACCTCTCACAGGGACGGGTGTGAAGTATTGTCCTTCTGCTGTTCTCTGCGTCAGAGTGACCTTGGGAGGTGTCCCATGGTCCTCTTGTATATGGCGCCCCGTTGTGTTCTGCAGGGGGTGGGATCTCTTAGAGCATCTGCTTACAA